AGGTAAGTGTCCTCCTCCTCAAAAGAAACTGGGAAATCATATTCCTTTATGGTAGGAACACTAGAGAAGCACTAAAATCCAATCTTGGATAACCACCTTGACCTGTGATGGAAGCACACCCAAAGTGTATAACTGATTCTTTTTCTGGTTCTGTCTCTTTTTGGAGGGCTTATCAAGACATGTTGAGGAAAACATACTTTTGTGCCAATCTTAGGGCTTGAACTCAAGGTCTACATGCTTTTTTCTTGAGCTTTTTTGCTCAAGGTTAGTGCTCTATCACTTAAGCCCCAGCTCCACTTCTCCACTTCTAGATATTTGTTTATTTATTTATTTATAGCTTAATTGGGGATAAGAGTCTTATAGAGCTTCTTGGACCAGACTGGCTTCAAACTGCAATCCTCAGATCTCAGCTTTCTTAGCAGGTACCAGGAAAGACACCTCCTCTCCAGACACTTTCCCACCTAAAGCTCACAGGACTCTACACTCCCCTAGGTAGAACTGGAGCAATTCCTTGAACAGATGCATTCACAAGTCTGTGCTCCACACTTGCTTTACTCTCCTGTCTGTCCCAGACAATGTGCCTTTTTCTAGTGGTCCTTTAAGGCCCTTATAAGCACTACTAGATATCCACTAGAAGGAATCTGTCCTAACAAAATAAGCATGTGGGTAAATATGTTTATTCAAAAGTAGTCCTTTCAGGGCTGTAAGTGTGGCTTCATCAGTAGAGCGCCGCCCAATAAGCAAAAGCAGCAGGTACCAAGTTGGAGCCTTGGTCTCAGACATAAGAAAAAAAAAGTTACAAAAAAAGTTACAAGATTATTAAATTAGAAACAACGTGTTTTTTTTTTTAAATGTAGGAAGACTTTATCTGAAAACTAACAACAAAAGGACTGATCTCAAGTGATAGAGCACTTTCCTAGCAAATGCTAGGCCCTGAGTCCAATCCCCAGTTTAGCCGCCCCCTCCCCAATATGGGATATGTTAATGTTCCATGTTAATATTAGAATATCTCTTTGTTTTAGGGTATGCTAGTACATTCATAGTTCTTTTATTTTCTTTTCCTTATTGGATTGCCAGCAAATGCATCTTAACTGTATTAAGTGAAGCTCAATGAAGTGCTGTGAAGAACACTTTGATGCTTTACTAGGGCATTGTTACTAATGGATAAAGTTTCCACAGCTCTGATTCATACCAGCATCTGGGGAGACATGATAGGGAGCCAGGCCGCACGGATTTCTGGTTTCTGTGTGGTGCAGGGCACTACTTGCTACACACGGAGGGGTGGGAGATGGGGGAGGGGAGAGGGAGGAGGGGGAGGTGGGGAGGGGAGGATGAGGTGGAGGGGAAGGGGGGGAAGAAATTGTATTTGCCAGCACCTGGGCGCACTCTGCCTCATAAATGTTTTAGACATGGTGATTTTCCTCAAACTACACTCTGCTAATATGATCTGAATAAGTATGTAATTACTATACAATCAAATTAATCCTCTCAAATATGTGGCTAAAAATACTCGCACTCCATTCATTAGGGTTATACTGTAGCAAATAAACCCTCAAAATCTGGGGTTCTTTCTCACCCACATAACTAGTCGAGTGAGGCATTCCTGATCACCAAATGGTTTTCCTGCATACTGTGATTCAGAGACCCGGGCTGGTTCTGGCTCTTCCAAGTCTAGAGCTTTGGAATCCTGCCATCAGAGAAAGAATGTAGAAAAGTCACTTCTTGTGGTGTGGGCTTGCAAATAACATACATTATTTCCAGTTTCAGTCTTTGTGTGAGAGCCACATCGTCCCAGGGAGATACAGGAGGTGCTAGGAACATGATCCCTGGCTGATGCCACTTTTCAGCAGCAACTCTACCTTATGGAAGGAGAAACAATTTTAGCCCACAGTCTGTCCTCTGTGCTCCAGCCACAAACTCAAAATAGTTGAGAATCACTAGGTAATAAGGTTTTCTTGCCTCATGAAGAAATAGGAAAATGACCAATATTGCCTCACTAGTGGAACAATTCTGCTGCTCCCACCCAGCATTTTACACATTGGAAGATTCTTCAGGTCTAGTGGAGAACTTGTACACTCCGACCTCTTCATTCCAGTGTCCACACTAGATCTAGCCCCTATTCCCATTTTTCCAATACCACCTGCAGCTGTCTTCATATTTCCCCTCTAAGATACCATCCTTGCTAGGCAGCTCTGACTCAGGCCCTGGCTCTTGCTGTAATCAGTTGTCACAAAGGAAGCAGAGCAAGATTGGCAGCATGCATGAGACTGATGAGGTGTAACTACTTCCTAGAGAGAGAAACTGCCTGGGACCACTTGTCTAGAGAGAGACTTACAGGTGTGGCAAGCACTTGGCGCATAGGGATCTATCAGTATGTAGAGTAATTTGAAGCCACACATAAGGTGGGGCTGGGGGTGGGGGATTAGCTCAGTGCTGGAACACTAGTTTTGCATCCATCCTGTAGGCCATATTCCCATTGTACCCTCAGCACTTAGCCCAACATTTCAGTAACTCATCTCCTGCACCAACTAGGGCCTTAGTGTCTTGGAGTCCTTCTGACAGACTGGAGGAGAAAGAATACATGTTGAATGAAAAATGAAAAACAGAATGAATGACCAAACATTCATGCCCTTAATACTATTTAATGAAAAACAAAACGATTAAGAGAGGGGTGGGACTATGGCTTAGCAGTAGAATGTTTGCCTAGCATGCACAAAGTCCCGAGTTCAATTCCTCAGTACTACATAAACAGAAAAAGCTGGAAGCGGTGCTATGGCTCAAGTAGTAGAGTGCTAGCTCTGAGCAAAAAGAAGTTCAGGGACAATGCTCAGGCCCTGAGTTCAAGCCCCAGGACTGGTTTAAAAAAAAAACTGGAACAAAAACAGAATGTGACATAATTTTTTAAATCAATGTAACCACAATTATGTAAATATGAAGATGTTTATCTGTGGTTCACTTTTTTTTTTTTGGCAGTCCTGGCCCTTGAACTCAGGGTCTGAGCACCATCCCTAATGCTTCTTTTTGTTCAAGGCTAGCACTCTACCACTTGAGGCACAGTGCCACTTCCGGCTTTTTCTGTTTATGTGGTACTGAGGAATCCAACCCAGGGCTTCATGCATACAAGGCAAGCACTCTACCACTGAGCCACCTTCCCAGCCCTAATCTGTGGTTCACTGTATATATAAATAATTTTATTTTCTTCTTAAAATTGTGTTTTCAAGCCTTCTGCAATAAGAATGTAAATTTTCTGCAAATTAGAGTTACAGCAAACTGGGTGCCAGTGTCTCACAGATATTGTCCCAGATACTTAGGAGGCATAGATCTAGAAGATCATAGTTCAAGGCCAGCCCATGCAAAAAGTTGACCAGATCCCTTCTCAACAGAAAGAGCTAGACTGGGTGCTGTGGTATTTGCCTGTTACCCAAGCTTCACCAGGATGGTGGTCCATGCCAGGCTGAGGAAATCGTGAGAGCTGTGGCTCAAGGGATAGAATGCTTGCCAACCAAGCAGGAAGCCCTGAGTTCAAACTCTTCACACACACACACACACACACACACACACACACAAACACACAGTAAGGGTAATTAGGGTTTTTGTTTGTTTGTTTGTTTCTATCAAATGCTGCCTTCTCCAGAAACAATCCCACCAAGGCTCCAAAGAATCTTAGAAGCCCTTTCTTCAACATTCTTATAGTATCCTGTACCATTCACGAATCACATTCAATTTTGCGAGTCTTTCTCCCAATAAGATTTGGTGTTCTTTTTATCTCTGAATCCCAGGGCTCACCACATACTAAGCATTCCTCAAGGAATGTGGACCTTGTAAAGAAAGCAAACCATTAGGAGCAGACAAACCCTGGCATTCTCCATCTAAACCAGTTGCATCTCCCCTGGGTATGGGACTATCTAAGAGATCTGCCTGCTTGAATAGTCAGCACTGGCGTTTCGGAGACCAGGGGAAGTACTAGCTGAAATCCAAGTTGGGTTTTCCTGGTTACAAACCAACGTTAGTCACGTGGCAGCGCTTGGAGGATTCCCCGATTCTGCTCATTCCTTGGGGATCACTCACCCCACCAGACTCCCGCTCATTCTTTAGGATCCCTCACTCCTGGGCGGGGGGGGGGGGGGGGGGGGGGGGGGGGGAGGGAACCTCCCCTGGGAACAAAGGGAAACTCCAGGACTCGGCTCTTTTCCACCAACAGCTGTGACTAATTTGCACTTAACTTCAAACCACAATTACAATAAATATGGTATGTGGTGGGGGGGCGGGGGGGGGGGAGGATATGACCGTCCAGAAGAAACACTTTTCTCCAAATATCTTCCAGAAAGGGCTTTTAGGGCCAAGCAGCGCCGTTATAGAGCAAAAGGGAGGAGGTTTAGAAACAGGTTTTAAGGACATTCACTGGAATTGAACTTAAGACCGAGTTAACCCCCCTTCACCCCCCCCTCCCCCACGCTAGGACAGGTAAAGCTGTCTTCCCACAAGAGGTTTGAAACGCCAAACAACACTCTCCTTCCCCACCGTGCGGGAAGGCAAGGCTAGGGGCGGACTCCGTTCTCTGCAAGACTTGAGCCCAAGCCAGGAGGGTGTCCTCAGGACCCCCCCCCCCCCCCGCCCGGGTCTCGGTGCCTGGAGGAGGTGGCTAGGCATCCACGTGGTCCTCCGGGTCGGGTCAACTAGACCAATAGGTTGCAGAAGAGCCGCTGTGGGCCTCTGGGCCTGCGCGCCCCACCCGCAGCACGGCGCGAGTCTGTGAGTCCCACACTCAGCCACTTCGTAGTAAAAGCAAGCCCGAGAGGAAGGGCACGGCCCTGGGTGGGGACATCCGAGTAAGCGCTTTCACACTCAGAAAGTTTACACGAAGGCTCTCCGGAGGGCTGGGTGGGGTGGGGCAGTGCTGGTCCCCAGAGCGAGGCGGGAGAAGGGCGTGGGCGCGGGTGTGTGTGTGCGTGAGTGTGTCTCGGGTGGGGGTGGGGGGCGGCAGGAAGGGGAGGAGGAGGAGGGGAGAGCCGCAGCCCGGGCAGCCGGCCCAGGCTCCTCCTGCTCCGCAGCCCCAAGCCTCCGCCCTCTCCCCACCCGACCCACGTACAAAGGCGCCCAGCCGCACAGCTCCCCTCACCTCCCGCGTCCCAGCTCGCCCAGCCTGCGCCGCGCCCCCCGGGGGGATAAGGTGAGTTCTGCCCCGGCTCCGAGCGCCCCCCCCTCCCGCCCACTCCCAGTCCCCAGCCCCGGATCCCACCCTTCAGACACCCCGCACCCCGCCGCGACAGCCCCACGGGGCCGGGGTTAGCGGGGTTACCCCTGGCTCCCGGGGCCAGGGCCGGGGGAGTCCGCTGTGCGGGCCCGGGGGCCATCCTCGGGCCAGGCGCTTCCCCCCGCCCAGGCAGGGCGCCCCCCACCCCCGTCCCACGCAGACGGGAGGGGCGCGGGCTCTGGTCCTTTACTCTGAATCTTCGGACTTGGTGCCACCGGACCTCTAAGCTCCTCCCTTGCCTCTCAGTTCTTGGCTCCCGCCTTTCCGACTTGGCGACTAGTGGAGGCTTGTCACTGAGTGGGACCCCCGGGGCCCGCGCCCCAGCCCGCGCTGCAGGTCCGGCTTCCTGGTGTTTGTTGGTCCGCTAGTCCGGAAAGCTTTTGCCACCGAGGCCGCCTTTAGTTTGTTGTTATAAAGCAGGGGTTGGGGTATGTGAAGTGATTTCTCTACTGTAAGAGATTGCTTCTTGCTTAAATAAGGGGAACTAGAGCGAGATGGGGAAGCGCGGGTTTGGGAAGCACGGGGAAGGATCTTCCAATCCCAGATGACTTTGGCCTGATGGATTGAGAGAGATTCCCTTGGTACCTGGTTCACAATCGGGAGCTTGGGCAGAAAGGAATGGTGCTCTCTATGGCCCTCTGCTAACTGAAACCAGGAGCCCTATCATGCTGGGGAGGGGCTGTGATTAATGCCAAACAACTAGAGCCAGCAAAGCAGAGCTGGAAGCCCGGTTCTGGAACACATTAAACCCACCTCCCGTTGGTTCCCCCCCCCTCCCCCTCGCCCCCAATCCTTCCCTCACTGGAGGAGCTGGAAGCATTCTGCAGGGTGGGGTTAGCACAAAGGGCTCTGGGATTCTCCTGGTGATCTGAGGCCTGTGACTCAGCTGGAAGACCATGTGGGTGTGGTCCTGTTGGTTGCTGATCTACTGTGGATGGTTTGGACCCAACACTCACTGAAGGAAAAGAGGAACTGTGCCATCTTAGAAGGCATTTTCCAAGAGGAAGTGAATCACACTAGGATTAGCCACCAACCTGAAGGAGAGGTTTCTTGACTGAGCTGCCAGGGAGAATAATTAAATTGGCAGGCCACTGGCAAGACCGCTGCTCAGTTATCGTCAGGTTACTGGCTCATGTGTCCTCTGGCAGCAGGCCTCAGCTTTACTGGGTCTGTAGTTTTTCCCATTATGAGGTTTACACCTCATAATGCACAGGTCCTCTCCCTACTCTCAGTCCTATTCCCCAACTCCAAAACTCCACTTACAGCCTCCAGGAGTGAATTTTTTATATTCTGCACTTTACGTGAGGCCAGGCTCATGGAAACACCCTCTCAGTGATCTTTGCCTCCCAAGTGTTTCAGCATATTGCAAAAGATAATGATAATAGCCGAGTTGTGGCAGGAATGAGTTCATATAATTTGCTTGAAATGTTCTTATCATCCCTGCCCCTACAGATTCCTGGCCAATTTCTATTCAATCATTCCTTCTAAGTGGCATGAGAATTCCTTGACAGTGACAGGATAGGTTCTTCATGGTGATCCTTGATCTGGCATATGGGGTTTTGTTTGTTGGTTGGTTTGTTTTCTGGGTCTGTTGGGCATAGAATGATTGTTTGGGCTCACCTTAATTTCTAGGTGATGCTTGCTTTTCCTGGAAACATTAGACTGGCCTTTGGCCAGTTTCTGAGCAGCCATCCCAGTATGAGCGGATCCTGTGCTGGTTGGAACTAAGTCTGGGCATCTCCTGCTTTCCACTGAGAGCTCAAAAAAAAAAAAAAGTGACTTTTTAGGGTATTACCCTGTTGGAATGCCATTGGACAACAGTCCAATCTTCTAAAGCATAAAGCAGAGGGAAACAATGGAATTCTTTCAGGGTTACAAAGTATAAATTAATGATCAGATGCTGGGAAAGCTGAACTAAAGTTTTAGAATCTTTCTTAAGCTTCTCATTTTCCCAGGACTCACTTCAAAAGCAAAAAAAGAGATGTAGCTCAGTGGTAAAGCACATATTAACATGTATAGGACCCTGGATTCATACCCCAGGACAAACGCGCGCACGCGCGCGCACACACACACACACACACACACACACACACACACACACAGCAAAAAGACTTTATTTATTTATTTATTTATTGTCGATCATAGGGCTGAACTCTGGGCCTGGACGCTGTTCCTCAGCTCTTCAGCTCAAGGCTAGCGCTCTACTTGAGCCACAGCCCCACTTCAGGCTTTTTCTGCCTATGTGTTGCTGAGGAATGGAACCCAGGGCCTCATGCATGAAAATCAAGCACTCGACCACTGAGCCACCTTCCCAGCCCGACTTTATTTTTAACAGTTATCAGAACTTTTAGCTTTTCAATTAATAACAAACACTCATCCAACCAAAAGATTTAATATCAGTTGCTGATTTAATAGCACTGGCTGATTCAGGCCTAACAATATTTCAAAGAAAGAAATTGAATGTATTTTGTGGGTTTAGAGGAGATTTCTGAGCTCTTTCTTTCTGTTGAGTTGCACCTGAAACTTTCTTTTGCTAACCAATTATGTAGAGGGCAAGTTTTGTTTGGTGAAAGAAAGCCTGGATCCCAATCCATTACCTCAATTCTTTTTTCTGAATTCCCTTTAGGAATCATTCAATAATATCTTCTGCGTTAAATTCTCAAGAGATAAAAATTACTTTTCAAAATCCCTGAAACAGCAGGAAGAAAACTTCTAACATATTTTTATTTGGTTGTTTGTTTCTGTTGTTGTTGTTGTGCAAGTCCTGGGACTTGAACTCTGGGCCTGGACACTGTCCCTGGGTTCCTTGTGCTCAAGACTAACATTCTATCACTTGAGCCAAAGTGCCACTTCTGGCTTTTTCTGTGATTGATTGGAGATAATGGTCTCATAGACCCTGCTTGGGCTGGCTTTGAACTGTGATCCTCAGATGTTGGCCTTCTGAGTAGCTAGGATTACAGGTGTGAGCCACCGGCACTGGGCTTCAAACATATTTTGAATAGCATGTTTATTTTTACTGACACCCTGACAATTATTTCTGTGTGGCTGTCAGAAAACTAAGGTATGGACATGATACAGAGGAACAAAGTAAATCAGAACTCTTGTTCCTTAGAAGTATCTTCTTGTAAATTATGGCCTGGATCTAGGCACAGGCCCAGAGCAAACAGTTGGGACTGCTCACAAATAAACACTTTCCTAAGAGGGACTTCAGCTTCCCAGCCAAAGACAATCAAGATGATATTATTATCAGTTTCATTCTTCCCCTTCCATAAAGCAGACTCTATGAACAGAAACACAAATAGCAAGAATTGAAGACAGACTTTTAAGCTGTATTCCATTAGCTGGTGAACTTTTCAAAGGCAAGCACCACCATAGAAAGGAAGGAATCCCTTGTGCCCCACACCAGAACTCTTTAGTTGGGACATACAAAGTAGGAGTACCAAAAAATGAATTTCTAACACAGAAAGAATTTGTGGAGTACAGAATTGTTTTCTGTTTAAAAAAAAATCAAAACAAAACAAAACTTCACAGGACTTCTGAGCCTGCAGTACTCAGATCCATTGCACAGGAAAACAAGTCGAGGGCATTCAGCGTCAGAATCAAATGATTCAGTGGCAGATGAGTGGGCAGCAGGGCCACAGAAGTGAGCAGTCCCACATCCTGCGGCGTCAGCAGTGAAACTGCAGAGCTAGAGGAGAAGGAATGAGAGGTAGGATGAATGAGAAATCCGCAGCAGAGAAAAGCAGGCAGTCTGACCAGACCTGTTTAGCAGGACGTATTTTTTTTTTCCTTTGAGTCTGAACTGTGCTGTCCTGTTTGTTCTTTGGGGAACCTTGTTGGGGCCCCTTCCCATCCTTCCTGCTGAGCTCTGAGCTACAGGATTTTTCAGCCTCATTAGGATAATCACATTAGCTACTGCCAAGGCAACAGTTTGACTCATAAACTGACTCATTTATTTAGTGGATATTTACCTCTGGATAAAGGCAAAAATTTTCATGGTTCTTGACCAAGAAGAGCTCAAGAGTGGTGAACAATTAAAAGCAATTTGAGTGTTCCTGGTACAGGAGTAGGTTATCCAAACACTGAAAAGACATTGTGCTTCCCAGACTGAGTTCCAAGGTCCTCTGCCAAAGTATATCCAATGAGGAAGTAGGAGACACACCTCTGCTGGAGTGTGGCTTGTAGAGCCGTTCGTGGGTGAGATGCCAGCTTCAAGTTGGTGAAGAACTTCGGCTTTAGTGACCAACTGTCAGAGCTGCTGTCAGCCTGTTTGTCGAGCCCCACCCAAGGAACTGAGGAACCATTTACCCAGCAGGCACAACCCCCATCACCACCCCGCCCAGCCCTGGAAGAGACTCTTGATTCATGCAGCCAAGAGAACAGTTAAATCATATTTCCCTCTTTTCCTTCTTACTTTAAAACCAGTGTGTGGCTGGGTCAAAACACACTTCTTTGCTTGTAGCCCTGGTCAGTACATGGGTTGCGGATCAGACCCCAATCAGACCCTCTGGTGCCTCTGGTTTTCAAAACTAGTTTCACTTCTAGTTAGTCCCTTCTCTGAATCCTCCCACTGTTAAACCTGACCAGCCAGGGAGTTGTGCTTGTCATCTGTTTACTGAATACAGCAGCTGGAAGGAGGTAGAGAGAGAGAGGACCTCTGACAGGAACATAGCTTTGTGGAAGAAAACCCCATCACATAGCCAGTGTGAGCAAGGAAGGGCTGGCTGTGGAGTGACCTCAGACTAAAGCACCTTGCTTCAAAGCAGAGACTGAAGAAAACATTGGAGCATCACCTGATTTCCTCAGCCTACAACTCGTATGTCTTAGTAGGTCCTAAATTTACCTATTTTCTATTGGGGGGAATCATTATCCTGCTGCAGTCCCTTTCTTCCTTGACCATACAGTACACTCTCTGGACTCTGTTCCATCCTGTGACGAAAGCTAGATATCCCAGTTCTAATATCTGGGAATTGTGGGACAGGCTGGGTGGGAAGTGTTGTGTGGCTCTGAGCTCCCGACACAAGTTTTTTTTGTACCGTTTCTGGGGCTCAAACTCTGGGCTTGGAGGCTGTCTCTGAGCTTTTTTGCTCAAGACTAGTGCTCTACCCTTTGAGCCACAGCTCCACTTCTGGCTTTTGGGTGGTTAATTGGAGATAAGAGACTCACGATCTTTCCTGCCCAGGCTAGCTTCAAACTGTGTCCTCAGATCACAGCCTCCTGAGTAGCAAGGATTACAGACATGAGCCACCAGTGCCAGCGTGGATACATATTTTTAAATCTCTGTGGTGTCTGACTCCTTTCCTGAATTATTTAAGTGCTGAGGTAGGATCCTATGTCCTCCTATAGGTGACTCATTCCTGGGCTTTCAGATCAGCTATACAAGGCCAACTCACTCAAGCCCATGCCATGGGAAACCCTTGTAGGGTGGGGGATGGATCTTTCCTGTGTAGGAAGAGAGCAAATGGGGTGTGGCTCCCCTGGAATTTATCTCACACCAGACCTTTAAACATGAATTTTCTTCTGTCTCCAAGATAAACTGCCTTGCAGATGAATCATGCTAGATTCTGGTTTATAGTGTTCTCTAAAGTAATCTTCTTTGGCATGAAGGTTCTAGTACTTTTCTGGAGATTAAGGAGTATAATTTGTCATTTTTAAATACAGTTGTTCAACCCTGGTGTTTATCACTCCACGGTTCCCTCTGTAAACGATAGCATCTAAAGATCTATGTTGAACAGGCATCTGTCAACAGCAGTAACCAGAACTAAGCATGTCCCAAGCCCAAGTACTTTTCAGCAGAATTGCCAGCATTTCCTTCTACCTATGCTCATAGCTCTGTGGGGTGTGTATGTGTGTGTGTGTGTGTGTGTGTGTGTGTGTGTGTGTGTAAAATTATATATTCCAAACTTTGACTAAGTTCACTGTTTCCTAAACAATAGTGATTTTAGATAATGTTTCTCAAAGCTCCTCTGTTCTGGCCAAAACATGTCTTCCAACTAACTCAGAATCCACTGAGCTCCAGTTAAGTATCAGGCACTGTGTCTTGATGAGCCATAAGCCTCCAGCTCATTGTACCTGAATACAGTGATCTCACATGTTTCCTTTCCTATAAATTCTCCTTGACCAAAAAAACCCTCTTGTTCTGTCACTATGTCTCAGGCTCCGAAAGTAGCTTTTGCCAAGAATGTGTTAGACCCCCAAATGACTTCAGATAGACTAAACTTTTAGACAATAAACATTGGAACACATGAACTCAGGCAGGGCAGCTGCATTTTACTACTAGGATGCAAATGTCTTTATTGCAATAGATACAAGTTCAGTGCTTTGGCTTTAGTAAAGAGTATCCAGCAGACAAATTCATCTTTAAGCAGCTTTCTAAATGCTAATATTAGACTGAACCAGGTACAAAGTTAAGCATAGAAGGTTAAATTTTTCATATTAGCCATGCTTGACTGTGTGGGTTGTTCAGCCATGTTTTCAAAGTCTCATTGGTCAGTGCCAAGAGAAATAAAAAGATCAATGTTTTTTCAATAAGTACTTTGTCAGTTTATTTTTGTTTGTTTGTTTTGTCAGTTGTGGGGCTTGAACTCTGAGCCTAGACACTGTCCCTCAGTTCTAGGAGAGCGCCCTGCCACTTCAGCCACAACACTACTTCGTTTTCTGGTGGTTTATTGGAGATAAGAGTCTCAAGGACTTTCCTGCCCAGGCTGGCTTTGAACTGAGATCCTCAGATCTTAGCCTCCTGAGTATCTAGGATTACAGGTGTGAGCCACTGGTACCCAACTACTTTGTCAGTTTAAAGAAAAACTTGTTGTTGTTGTTGTTGTTGTTGTTGTTGTTGCTGGTCGTGGGGATTGAACTCTGGGCTTGGGCGCTGTCCTTGCCCTCTTCAGCTCAAGGTGAGCGCTCTACTGCTCACTTGAGCCACAGTGCCATTGGGGCAGGAAAGTCCATGAGACTCTTATCTCCAAAAAAAACCACTAGAAAACTGGAAGTGACGCTGTGGCTCAAGCTGAAGAACTAAGGGATAGCGCCCAAGCCCAAGTTCAAGCCCCATGACTGACAAAAAAAAAAAAAAAAAAAAACAGAAAGAAAGAAAGAACGATAGATAGAAAGACATTGATATTGCTTTTCCAAATGGTTACTTTTTATTCTTTTTGTTGTTGTTGTTGTTAGTAATGGGCTTGAACTCTGGGCCTGGGTGCTATCCCTTAGTTCTTCAGCTCAAGGCTGGTGCTCTACCACTTGAGTCACAGCACCACTTCCAGTTTTCTGGTGGCTTCTTGGAGATAAGAGTCTCAAGGACTTGCCTGCTGTGGCTGGCTTTGAACTGTGTTCCTCAGATCTCAGTCTCCTTGGTAGCTAGGATTACAGGTGTGAGACACTGTCGCCTGGCCTTTTTATTCTTTATTAGGTGGTTTATGAAAATTTAGCCGGCAACCAGATAAGCTTTTTAATAAAGCTCCAAGACCTGAAATGCCTATTTCATAAGCAAGAGACCTCCAAAACAGAGATCATTTTGTCCTTAGATTCATTGAATTTTATAGCTGGAAAGGAATAAATGGGTGATATACTCACAATTCTTTCAATTATTCTTTAAAGACTGACAGTAAATGTGGCTTAAAGTTTGCCAAAGACCAGTTGCTTATGCCTGCAGTCCTAGCTACTCAGGAAGCTTAGATCTGAGGATCATAGTTCAAAGCCCACCCAATTAGGTAAGTCCATGAACTCTTATCACCAATTCAGCACCAAAAAAACTGAAAGTGGAGCTTTGGCTCAAATATGAGAGCACTAGCCTTGAGCAAAAAAGCTCAGGAACAGCACCCAGGCTCTGAGTTCAAGCCTCAGAACCAACACCAAAAAGGTAAAAAAAAAAAAAGTTAATGTAACCCATTTCTTCATGCCCTTTAACAGATTTCAACAGACCTTGCCAAAATGCCGTCTCAAATGGAACACGCCATGGAAACCATCATGTTTACATTTCACAAATATGCAGGGGATAAAGGCTACTTAGTGAAGGAAGACCTGAGGGTGCTCATGGATAAGGAGTTCCCTGGATTCTTGGAAGTAAGTATTACAACTCTCAGAAAGAACTAGATATAAAAATTAGTACTTTCAGCCAGGTACCAGTGGCTCACACCTATAAGCCTATTTGAGAGGCTAAGATTTAAGGATCACAGCTTGAACCCAGCCCAGGAATGAAAAATTTGAGACTATTATCTCCAATTAACCACCAAAAAGGCAGAAGTGGCTCAAGTGGTAGAGTGCTAGCTATGAGCTAAAAAGCTAAGGACTGCCCAGGCCCTGAGTTCAAGCCCTAGTATACAGATAGGGGGTTGGAGGGAGAGAGGGAGGGAAGGAGAGAAAGAGGGGGTGGGAGAGAGAGAACTTGGGGGCTCATTCCTGTAATCCTAAATACTCAGGAGGCTGAGATCTGAGAATCATAGTTCAAAGTTGGCCCAGGCATAAAAGACCAACCCTGAGACTTTTATTTCCAATTAATCAGAAAAAAGATCTGGAAATAGAACTATGGCTCAAATGGTAAAGCACCAACGCTGAGTGGAAAAGCCAAATGAGAGCGCACACACACACACACACACACACACACACACACACACACACACACACACATCTGTACTTTCTTCCCCATGTTCTTTTATCTTTTCCCTGTGGAGGCCACTACTAGAAAGGTGTTTTGTCTATTTATTTATTAAAAGTATTGGGTACCTACTATGTGTAAGGTATTGCATGGGAAACAGTGAAGAAGACACAGCCCCTAAGCTCAAGGAGCTTATGATCTGCAGATAAAGTACAACTTACATGCAAATAACCACTACATGAAGTATTAGAAAACTCTATCTTGAGTTGTATGCGCATCCATTGCAACATTGAAAAGAAGGCTTTTCCAGAGGGAGCACTCAGCCAGGGAATGGCTAGGCCCTTTTTTTACTTTAGTTATTTTTTTTGGGGGGTCCGGTTGTGGGGCCTGAACTCTGGGCCTGGGCACTGTCCCTCAGCTCTTCAGCTCAAGGCTAGCGCTCTACCACTTGAGCCACAGTGCCACTTCCGGCTTTTTTCTTTTTGCTTATGTGGTGCTAAGTAATCGAACCCAGGGCCTCAGGCATGCAAGGCAAGCGCTCTGCCACTGAGCCACCTTCCCAGCCCCTACTTTAGTTATTTTTTAGATAGTCTCACATTTTCGATCAAGGCTGGCCTTTGATTATGACCATCCTATTTATGCTTAATGAATACTGAGGATGACATATGTGCCATTATACCAAATTTGTTAGTTGAGATGAAGGTCTCACTAACTTTTTTCCCTAGACTAGCCTAGAATCTTGATCTTCCCAATCTCTAACTCCCAAGTAGCTGGAATTATAGGTGTGAGCCATTGTGCTTGGCCCCTCAAATTCTTTCTCTCCAATTCTAGTCCATAAAAGAATGGTGTCAGTCATCTGCTGAATAGGCCGAGTATTAGTGCAGAAATAACTGCTTTTCACACTGAAAATCCTACTGAGCACAGGAGCAGAGTCTGGTTTATGTATCACCTTGACAGATTAAGCAACACCCAAAGACAACTTTTTAGTCAGTCCAGGTATATTACGAAGGACGTTAAGTGACAAGGCACCATTGCCCTATAACTTTGTAAGCCATCAAGAGGAGCTTGTTACATTTCATGATCGTGCAAGACAAAACATTTCAGATTAAAATACAAGCCCATCTTCCATCTCTCCATGCTATAATTGTAGTCAAGGATAACTTATTAACCTCCTGAAGGCTGAAGGGAAGCCATGGTAAAAAGCCTGGATCCTGCCTCTTGTCATCTGCCTGGTAAATAGCACTTTAGTCAGATCCCTGACTCCTACACCTAGTAAACATGGATCTTTGCAGAACACTATTTGTACACATCATCCATATCAGTTAAATAGCCTAACTCCTTTCTTCAAGTTCCAGTCCTACCACAATGCTATCCTAGAAAAGAGCTGAAATACAGTTACGTGCTGTTGTAGGGCCCTGGACCCAAAGTCTGGAGATCTGGCTCTAGTGTAACAAACACTGGAGATTTGCTTCAGCTCTGTGACCTAGTTTCTTTTCTGTAAAATGAGAGACACATATGATTATCTGCAAGATCACTCTCATTTTTTATGATCCTTCTATGCAAGCATAAAATGTAAGGACAAAATGTGCTCAAGCTAAGGCAGCCCACTGACAAAAGTGTTCTCAGCATTTATCACATGTTAATTGTGCTATTAGTTAGAGGCAGAATAAGCATCATATACATCGTAGACCCTTCCTCTAGGCTTTGTGGCATGAGAAACATAAAAGGAATAGGTGATATAGAGTGCTAAACGTGGCAGGATAATTTATTCCAGGAACCAGGGCATAATTCCAGACACACCCACACTCACTGCATTAAGAGAGCATTTTGTTTCTAAAGTAGACCCCTTATGTCATCCAAATTTCACTCATTCTGACCACAGCCAGGAAGCTGAGGGCAAGTCCAGAATTAGCTACATAGAACAGGTTTTAGTTGATTGTTTAGGGTAGAAGATTTCATTCCTCATGAAGGAAATGGAACTGCTTTACCTTAAGGGATTCCTGAGTGCATAAACATAAGCGCACTTAAAATTCAGTTATTTTGTTGTTGTTGTTATTGGTCGTGGGGCTTGAACTCTGGGCCTGAGCGCTGTCCCTCAGCTCTTCAGCTCAAAGCTAGTGCTCTACCACTTGAGCTACAGCACTACTTCCAGTTTTCTAGTGGTTTATTAGATAGAAGAGTTTCACAGACTTTCCTGTCTGGGCTGGCTTTGAACCTCAATCCTCAGATCTCAGCCTCCTGAGCAGTTAGGATTACAGGTGTGAGTCACCCTCGCCCGGATAAAATTCAGTTCTTAAGTCATAAATACTTTTAATAGCCTCTAATGGGTTAGAGGTTATTTCTGGTTGATGGCATGATCTATAGAAGTCATGTACATATAGTCAGTGGAATTCATAAATACTTTAGGTAGGCCTTTTAATAGCCTCTAATGAGTTAGAGGTTATTTCTGGTTGATGGCATGATCTATAGAAGTCACCATATTCCTACACTTCTAACCAACATCCTTGTGAAAAAGTGATCAAGCCAGTTGTTATAGAAACAGGATAAAGGGATCTTGCCTGCCCATCCTTGCTCTATACATTCATGCAAGACATTAGGGAGTTCATGATTCCATTGCATATATTCCTTTTGACTCTTGTCTAATATACAGCATCCAGTGACAACTATAGAAAAGTGTAGACTTACCAACTCAAAATGGAAGTAGAGCTAGGGTGTAGATCAGTGGTAGGGCACTTGCCTAGAATATGCAAGACTCTGGGTTCAATTCCCCAGCGCCCACAAACAAAAAGTGGGGGAGAGAATTCCAGAGACAATGCTGGGAATGTGGCTTAGTGGTAGAGTGCTTGTCCACATGCATGAAGCCCTGGGTTCGATTCCTCAGTACCACATAAACAGAAAAAGCCGAAAATGGCACTGTGGCTCAAGTGGTAGAGCACTAGCCTTGAGCACAGAGGGGCTCAGGGACAGAGCTCAGGCCCTGAGTTCAGGCCCCAATCCCAGCAAAAAAAAAGAATTCCAGAGACAACATTCAAGCCAATGCCTTCACTCATAGTTGATACATGAAGTCACATTATTAGCTATGTGACCTACTCAAGGTCACAGGGCTAATATGATATTATGACACACTAGTGAGGTCTCAGCTGTGCCAAAGAGAAAAAGCCATCTCTCCATCTTCATCATTAAATCCTCAAAATTGGTAGGACAAAGATCTAAAACTCCCTAAACAATTTTATCATGTTTTTTTTCATTAAAAAATTCCTTTTAAGCCAGGCTCTGGTGGTTCACACCTGTAAGCCTAGCTACTCAGGAGGCTGACATCTGAGGATTAGAGTTTGGAGCCAGCCTAATCTGGAAAGTCCATGAGACTTTGTCTCCAATAAACTACTCCGAAAAAGCTGGAAGTGGTGTTATGACTGACGTGGTAGAGCACTAGTCCTAAGCACAGAGAGGCTCAGGGACAAAGCCCAGGCCCTGAGTTCAAGCCCCAGGACTGGCAAAATACACAAAAGAAAAAGTTTCCTTTTAAAGGCTTGGACCATGCTATCAGAAACATATTAAGAAAATGTAAGTTTGAACAGAAAACAGTAAGTGCAGAGTCATTCTTGGTCAAAATCTAAATATGAAATTACTGAAATGCGTTTAGATGGTGCCCATAAAGGTCACTGATTACCTAAGAAAAGAGCCCAGATAATAGTGAGATTATGTGCTTGGTTGACTGTCCAGTACAAAGCAGATAAAGTTCAGAGTTACAACCCTTGACTGGTATTTTCTAACCTTTGCTCTTTGTTGTTGTTGTTGTTTTAGAACCAAAAAGATCCTCTGGCTGTGGACAAAATAATGAAGGACCTGGATCAGTGCCGAGATGGCAAAGTGGGCTTCCAGAGCTTCTTTTCACTAATTGCAGGCCTCACCATTGCATGCAATGACTACTTCGTAGTACACATGAAGCAGAAGGGAAAGAAGTAGATAGAATCCAGCACTTATTTCTGCCCACTGCATAAGAGTTCTCCTGAAGGGTCATGTAAAGGATCCACCCACAAAAGATTTTATGACAGATGAGGGCCCTTTAGGAAAAATTACAAATAGCATCCAACTCCCATTTGACAAGCAGAGAAAGGAACGTTAATTAAATGCCAAATAAGCTTTTCATTTTTATATTGTTTGCATCCTCTTGCCCCTAACAATAAAGTCTTTTTTTTTTATTCCAAATTTGAGATAGCATGTTTGTGGCTTCTTCCAAACTACTCCAGATTTCTCTAGATCATGATGAGTCAGCGTGCCCTTGGGCAGCCAGCACACAGCACAGTTCTCTACACAGAACAAGCAAAATAGGAAAGTGCTTTCCTTTCGGGCTTAGGGTCTAATGTTTCTAATTGTTCTGCCCTTGTAACTATGTCTATATGAAGAACCAGAACTACTATTTTAGAGGATAACAGGAGTAACAGAAATGAAGCATCAACTCATCCTCACACTGGGTGTGTTCATTCGGAAAAATTCTGAAGCAATGTGTTATTCTCAGCGGATTACCCCAGACTCTGGCATTCAGAAAGGTGCCCACTGCCAGGGACTCATCACTGTTTGGGATGGGTGTATGTCATCTATGTGTTCTGAGGGGAAGGGTGTGATATCTTCCTTTCTTTTGCTCAGAGCATTTATCAGGGAGCTCAGAGCATGTAGTACTACAAGTGAAATAAAAAGGGATATTACAGTTTGAAATCCTTTGTGGCTCTGTGCCAACAAAAATACACAGCTCCCACAGTCTGACCTGCTGAAAGAGCCGTCTAGGCTTTGGGGCTGCAGCCTAATGGTTCCCAAAGGGCAAAGCTGCAATTATGCCAAGAGCCAACAAGAGGACCTGCCTGGAAAATTCCACTCATTCTGCTAGAAGGCTGAGTTGTAAAAGCAGATTCTGTCCCTCTCCACCCAGTTGTGAAGGAAGAACAGACAGAAGTAGAGAAAGTCAATTGCAAACATGCTGCAGAGCTGACCCTGAACACTAACTCATTTTCTCTCTTGGACCCATTCCTTGTTCAAGTCTCCTGAACATCTGTGATTTAATACTTTTCAATCGTCTCTCTGAAAGACCCTAGAAACAAATCTGTAAGCCTGATCCTCAGTTTGACCAATTTGAAGGTGATTATTCAATATTCCCTCTGGCTCTTAACTCAGAGATAGTCATAAATTAAAAAATCCGTTGTTTGGCAAATATTAACAAGGACTACTATGACTAACACAAAGCACAGTTTTGTGGCAGGTAGAGAGAAGCAGATAGCCAGCCATAGGACCTGCTCAAGAAGATTACAATCTAGACTGAAAAACAGTAGATAAAGCAGACCAGAAGTTAAGTAATAACACAATGGAGATCAGCAAAAGTGACATGTAATGGGCACCCCATTTGCATTAAGAATGTCATATATACAACCTTTAGGGGTGGCAAAAGTAGGCAAGTATACCAAAATCCTTTAATGTAAATTTCCTTTTTGAGTAGGAGAGGAAGGATAAGTGTTTCTAGGTATGGGATTTGAGCTCAAAGCTTTGTGTTTGCTACAGTCACTCTACCACTTGAGCAATGCCTCAGCTCTTCTCTGTTTTAGTTATTTTTCAAGTAAGGTATGATTTTGCAGGGACAGCCTAGACTTTGATTCTCTTATTTACAACCCCCACATACCTGGGATGAGAGGCATGGGCAACCATGCCAAGCCTATTGCTCAAAATATAGTCTTATTAACTTTCTGCCTTATTGCCTAGAACTCAGACCTCCTGAGTAGCTGGAATTAACAGGCATGAGCCACTTTTCCAGTCTAATGTATTTTCTTTGACCCAGTATTTCTCATCCCAGGAATTGCCTTAAAGTAATCAAGGGGTTGGAGGCATGGTACGTGGCAGAATACTAGCCAGCCAATAAGCAAAAGAGTAAAGTAACAGAGAGAGAGAGAGAAGGAAGGAAAGAAAGGAAGAAAAAACAAACAAACAAACAGAGGGGGCAGAGAGAGGGAGAAAGAAAGAATAAAAAACAAAATTCAAATACAAAGCCATTGATGCAGCATATTTTAAGGTTTTACACGAGTAAAACCTTAATGTCTTTTGAGCACCAGTAGCTCATGCCTGCAATCCTAGCTACTCAAGAGGCTGAGATTTGAAGATGGGAGTTCAAGGCCAACCCAAGAAGAAAAGTCCATGAGACTCATCTCGGTTTAACTAGGAGGAAAAAAAGCTAGACTGGAGATATGGCTGCAGTCATGGGTGAAAAAAGTCAAGCAAGGCTATGAGGACCTGTGCTCAAGCACCAGTAACGGCAAAACACACACACACACACACACACACACACACACACACACACACACACACACACACGGGGGGGGGGGGGGGAGGGGGAGGAGAAGGGAGGGAAGAAAGAGAGAAGAAATAAAAGGAAGTATATCCAGCTGTCTTTACTTTCCAAAACTATTTGTGGCTTAAGAATTACCACCCAAAGGATAGTTATTATAATTTTCTTTGTATACACTACTATGTTATCCAGATTATAATAATTTTACTTTCATAACCTGGGAGATACAACTTTACATAATATACTTTCAAAAAGCACGTGTACTTACTGAGAGTCTATAATGTGTCAGGATCTATATGAGATACTTCTTAAGCATTATCTTACTTAGTCCTTATAATAACCCTTCTAAGCAATCACAATATCCATTTTACAGATGACCAAACTAAGATTTAAATAACTTCACCATCCCACAGAACTTACTGTGTCAAGATTTGAAACAGAGACTGTTTCTTTTTATTCTACAGCTGTCTCAAAGTGCTATTTCAGTAAACGGAATAATGAATGTAGTATTCTCTCACAAGAATAAAGGATCATGTGTGTGGCATGAGACTAGTCATAAGAGGCAGATTGGTGGAAAGTGAAAAACAGGAGGACTTCAGTTGACGCATGTACCAGGACAGGAAACAAGACCCTATCTCAAAAATGAATAGTTAAACAAAAGAGGGCCAGAGTCATGGCTCATTGGTAAAGCACCTGCCTAGCAAGCTTGAAGCCCTTAGTTCAAACCCCAGTACCAAAATAATATTTGTTTAAAAAGTTAATGGAACTCAAGGACCAATAAAATGGACTGGACATAGAAATATCAGGTGAACCTTAAAAATCTATGCAAACACAACCATTGAGGTTGTAGAGTGGCATGACAGATTTCTAAAATCATTCCTGTAATAATTTATAATGAGTCCTAGTATACAAGTTTTGTAAACCAAATCCTCACTTTCCCTGGCATTATCACACAGACTGCACATTCCCTATTGTGATCTGTCGACCACATTGTGGGGTCAGGGATCATACCACTGGCCTCCGGCCCCCAATCAAGTCCTGGTGATGCCTCCTTACCACAGTGGGATGGGAACAAGGAGGAACCAATGACACTTGAGTGAACAGGGATTGACAGGTCCATTGATGGCATCGGGAAAGTCTGGAAGAAGATGAGCAGAGGATCCTGGGGACAGCGTGGACAGGGACTATGTACTGGAGCTCTGAAGTCAAGTAGATCTGTGCTCCAATCCTTCCTCTTATGGACTTTGGGACATTTTATAAGAATAAGACCTGGGTGTGGTAGGGTGCACCTGTACGCCCAACAGTCAGAAGACTGGGCGGAATGATCAAGTTTGAGGCCAGACTAAACTACATAGTGACATCCTGTCTCAAAAAAAAGGAGAAAGAAAAAAAGGTGAGGGAAGCAATACCTAGCTATTGCTCATATTGAGTGGGCCAAATAGGCTACTAAGTTCTCAACTTATCTTTTCTCATTTAATCTTTACAGCAGCCCTTTGTGTTGATTGTTCTTATTTCCTCACATTTCCAATCAAGAAACTGAGCAACAAAGAAGAGGTCTATCCAAGGCCATATACATTTTTAAATAGTGGAGTTGTGATTCATACATAAGTCTGGATTCAAAGTCTGCCTTTAACCAAATAATTATTAAGTGGATTCGGAAGAAGCCAGAAAGTCAGATTTGGAAATCAAGTCTACTCATTCTCCTCATCAGAGACCAACAGTCCTTGCCTGACAACGAGCAGCATAATCATTTAAGGATCCAGACTCAGGAGGCAGATTTTCTGGGCTCAGATCCCAACTTGGATACTTACAGGAAGAGCAACCTGGAACATGGCCTCTTTGTGCCCTGATCTTCCCCTGTGCAAATGGAGATAATACTAGAACCTCTCAAGGCTGCTCTAGGATTAAGTCATTACACCTGCAAGAGTGGGTGGCACTATATAAATATTTACTATGATTAGTCCTGAAACTCTTTCTAAGTTTAAGTTCAAGGAGTTGAAAGAAGAAGACAAAATCCTGGGAAGCAGGTTAGAAGCCAGGGGATATTACAATGCCTCATAATTCATCCTCCAAATAACAAGTCCCTTCCTGTCCCCAAGCTATCGAGAAACAATGCTTTGTTGAAAAAGCAAAAGCTTTGGAGTCAGAAAGACATTAGTTCAAACTGCTTCCTACTCTTCTGAGGCCGTGGGCAAGTTACATGACCTCTTTAAGCTTCAGTTTTCTCATCTGTAACACAAACACAGTAGTATCTATATGACAGGAGTGTCGGAAGGATAATTGTATAAGATATACATGTTGGTGCATCACAGCCACACACAGAAGCAAAGGCCAGGTTATTTATTCTAGTAAAGTCTCACTTAGGAAGAAAGGTCAGTTCTTTGTCATTGAGTTGGTAAAACATTAATAAAGAGAGGCTCTTTTTCTAGATGTCTACCAACTGGCACTGCATGTTTGTTCTGGTAGAAGCTCTTTGCATTCTGGCTTATCAAGTCATAAAGCAAGAACTCAATTACATTTTATCCATTTTTTTCATTCCCTTCCTATGGAGAAATTGAACTTAAAATACTGCAGACAAATTAGCATTCCAGTTGGGCAAGCATTGACCTTGGATCAGGCCTAGGTTTTCCTGTATGACTTTGAGCAAGTTATCTAACTCTTCAGGGTCTTTACTGCCAGTTAGGGAAAACTACCCTCAGAGAGTTCAATTAGGATTCAATGACATAATATAGGGCCTACACTCTCACCTTTTTGCTTTTCTCCTATTAAAATGGCCAAGTCCCCCTGATCCCCTCTAAAGTTAGTCCCTGTTCCTGTGCTCTGCCTCTGACCTTCTCCCGGCTTTCTGCATCTTCCTTTCATTGCTCCCTCCACCAGGTCA